TTTCCAAAGCTTTTCATACTGTGAGCAGAAAAGGTCTGTGGAAGATTTTGGAATGATTAGGATGTCCCCCCAAGTTCCTCAAAATGATCATTTTGCTTCATGAGGATCAGCGCGGCCAAGTCAGATATGGTAATGCACTTTCTGAGCCCTTTCTAATTACTAATGGTGTGAAACAAGGCTAGGTTCTTGCACCAACTCTATTCACAGTCTTTTTCAGCATGATGCTCCAAAGGGCCATGGCGGACCTCGATGATCAGGATGGTATCTACATCCAATATCGTACTGATGGAAGCCTTTTCAACCTAAGGCGACTGAAGGCCCACACCAAGACCTTAAACCATCTTGTCCGGGAGTTGCTTTATGCTGACGATGCCGCCCTCGTTGCCCACACAGAAGCAGCTCTGCAGCGTTTAACATCCTGCTTTGCAGAGGCTGCTGAGCTTTTTGGGCTGGAAGTCAGCTTGAAGAAGACAGAAGTTTTCTACCAACCTGCACCTCAGGAAGTCTTCCATCATCCTCACATCATCACTGGCGAATCAGAGCTCAAGTCAGTCCAGCAGTTTAATTATCTGGGAAGCACCATCTTCTCGGATGGTAAGATTGACAAAGAGACAGACAACAGGTTAGCAAAGGCATATAGAGCTTTTAGAAAACTCCATAAAAGAGTTTGGTGTAATAAACACCTGAAGAAAAGTACAAAGATTAGTGTTTACAGAGCCATTGTGCTGTCTACTCTTTTATATGGGTCTGAATCACGGGTCATTTACCTCCACCAATTGCGACTCTTAGAACACTTCCATCAGCGCTGTCTCCGTACAATCCTAAACATCCACTGGACTGATTATGCGACTAATGCATCTATTCTTGAACAGGCAGTGGTTACAAGTATTGAGGCTGTGTTGCCAAGAACACAGCTGCGTTGGGCAGGACACGTCTCAAGGATGCAGACTACCTCCTCCCTAAGATTGTGCTCTATGGCGAACTTGCCACCGGCTGCCGCATGAGAGGAGCCCCAAAGAGGAGATACAAGGACTCCCTGAAACAATATCTCAGCTTTGGCCATACTGATCATCATCATTGGTCTACTCTGGCCTCCAATCAGGAGACATGGAGATACACTATACATAATGCTGCTGCTTCTTTTGAGAACACACGCAGAATCATTCTTGAGGAGAAAACACAATGCAGAAAGAATCGTGTCTTGCCAATACTGCCTAAGGAGACTTTCCGCTGTGCCTTTTGCAACTAGACTCATCTATCTGACACTGGTCTTTTTAGCCATCAGTGAGCTTGTAGCAAACGTGTGTAGAATCCTTCTCAAATCTTCGTTTGCGAAGTCGAGCCATGAAGTTACCAATGCAGACCACAGCATTGTGAGGGCTACTATGGAGAAATAAATTTCGGCTCAGCCAGACCCACCACAGCTATTAATATAATTATTAGAATTGATAAAAAGTTTTCGGTAATTAAACCTTATTTTTTGTTTTCCAGTTCTGCTCAGCTGGAAATTTTCCATTTTTCTAATCCTTCAGTTCTCCTTTTCTAGTAATTTACATTGGGAAAGCTATCACTTGTAGCTAGGAATAGCTTTTCATGATCAGAAAGAGCACCATATTAAAATATAAACATTCAATCTATACTTCTTTAAAAGCCCAAGAATTACACATATGAATCCTTCCTCTTATCTGAAAAGGGCTGAAATTCATCATTACTGGTTCTACTTGTATCTGATGGTAGAGCTGAGAATTTCTTGACTGAAATAGATAAAATAACTTTCAGAAATGGAGGAACAATGACATTGACTGATTCTTGAGGACTTTTATTCTCACTACCCAGGACATAAAGACAGAGGTGAAATCAACATAATTTCTTCTCGTGGATGCTTTTGAATTACTACCTTAGGCTCACATGGCTCTCTCTCCTGTGACTCTCATCCCACACGGGAGCATTCAGGGACCTCACATTCCTAGTTCTGCACAGAAAGCTTGGAAAATCAGTGGCCATTGATGCCACAGAAGCTGCCATGCTCCTGAAATTAATGTCTTGGTAGAAAAGCCCTCAGAGTCCTCCCCGGACAACTGAAGGCAAGTAGGGAAATCTCTGATGAAATGAAGAAATGACAACTATAGTAGCTGATTAATGGCAATATCAGGGGCTTCAGCATCCAGGATCTCCACTCTATCTAGAGATGCAGGTAGGTTTACACTGCCATGACACAATCAGTGCTGCTGTACCTGGGTTAATATACACAACAGCAGCTACCTAGGTTATTACTACGCAAGCTGAGTAAGTTGCACTCACAACTCTGAACTTCAATGCAAGAGCACTCTTCTGATATACTTAGGACACTGTTTATTGCTTAATGAAACAAAAATTGACAGATGCGCGATTTGCATTTGTTTACAGTTCTCATATTTTTAGTGCAAATTAAGCATATTCTTCATCAAGGCATGCCATCAGTTGTATTCCCAGAGGAAAATAAGTTAATAGAAACAGTTCTTATTTTAAATGCTGATTTCTTGTCAAAAAGATGGCATGACATATCAACTCCAACAAAGTCCGTTTCAGCTTATTTTGTTCCCTCCCCCTCCATTGTAATATCTGATTGACTTAATGGCTCACTTAAGAAAATGGAAGCAACTAAAATTCTTTTTTTTTCTTTCTAAAGTATCTATCACAACTGTTTAGTTAGGAATTATTTCTTGTTAACGTTAATTTTTGCATTCCTATTCCTATACTTCAGTCACTGGTTTTGAGCTAATGACAAAATAATATTCAGAGAAAAATGGAAGTGATTGGGTTGACTGAATGACACAATCTTCATTTCACTACATCTATTCTGTACTGATAAGTAGTATATTTATAAAGCAAATGGCTTTATAAATAGGAGGAGAGACTACACAAATCCAGGAACATAGATTTTTTATTTCATGGAATGAAAAGGGATCAAAATATTTGGCCGTGAAACGGAAGAAGTAGTCATGGAGAAACTAGTACCTCTCCATAATTAGAAATTATGAAATTCACATTCCTGGTGGATTACAATTAAGAAACTGTAAGCTTTTCAGATCAACAGCTAGACTGAATTAAAAAAAATACTTCACTCCTTTTTTTTCAGTGCAAGGACCATTGACTACCTCTCCTGAAATGTCCCGAGAAGCCTTTTCATTGGTGTTATTTCATGCTTTCAGACAGATTTTTAACTAAAAGTTCATTTCAGATATATTTTGTTTTGTTATTAGGAAGAGAAATCACATAGTACGTCCCAAAAGAGTGCACTGAGATAATCCACCTTTGTATTTTATTACTATACTGTGATTTTCACAAAAAAAAGCATTAGAAGTTATTTTGATCTACTGAATAATGATGACAAAAATAAATTAAAAGAGATTTCTTAAAAGGGCAAACTCAGCAAACAGTAAAATAAAAAAATTTAAAAATATAAATAAGTCAAAATATTTGAAGTACTATCCTTACCAAGAATCAAAGTTTACTGGAAAAAATATTCACATACTACTACAGTTATAATATTAGGATCAGGACTGGAAATAACAAAGCTACATAACACGTTCTGTAAATTTCTTAGTTGACTCCATGCAATGGCTTGCATTATGTTGGCAGTGCTATAGCTATCCATCAGATAATCCTAAGTATTACTGTTATTTTACCTAAAACATATGGGGACCATATTACACATTTAGGAATTAAAAGTACATTGCCAAAGCATCAGTGCACATCTCTTGAAAAAGTCCATTCTAACCAGCACATGTGATATTCTCTATATATGTGCAAGTTTCTACATACATGCTGCTACTATTTTGTACCTTCTCTTAGATATTTGTCATTTTTCAGTTAGAAATTTGGAACATAATAATTATTGATCTGACAACTCCTAAGTTGCATAGAATAACTTCCTCCTCCTCCCCACCTTTTATACTTCCTAAGCACATGTGAGAGGAAAGGATAATTTTTTTAGTTAGTGATCAAGATTCAAAAGAGAAAGGGAGAAACAGTTGAAAAAGTTAACCTACATTTGCAATATTTTACTTGTTTTACTTGTACTTACTGCAAAACTAAGTACTTACTACGTCTTATGAATTTGTCAACTAGATTCAGCTGTAGAGGTATTCTGGGGGAGGTGTTTGCTGTCTCAAGACACTGGGATCAAGACAACATAATTTATTTTACAATAGTAGATTGGCCTTTGTAAAATAATGACTTTGAAACATTGATTAAGGTGCAATTCAACTGCTGTTTCCCTTCTTTGTAATTTAATTCATCTTATGTTGAAGAGTTGTACATTATATTATAAAAGAAGAATTCAAATCTGAACATGCTCTGATGACAGAAAAAGGAATACAAACCATCCTTTGCAATTAGGGCATGCACCATGAGAAGGTACATTAAAATTGCATTACCTACTGTAACAAAGTGTCCTTCAGCACATCTGCAAATACAATTTTCTCCCATTTTCAAATACTTTTAGACTGTCAGAGTGAAGTGAAGTAGCTTTAGCTTCTAGGATTGAAGTTGGACAAGGGTAAAAGTGTCAAAAGTTTTCTTCCAAGATAACCTTAGATATTCTTGGCAGCTACAGGTACTGAACTCCCTGAACTCAGGTTTTATTCATTGATTTAAGGACAACGTGGCTTTAATTGTAATGTATGTCCCTTTGGAAACCAACACTTTGTTTCAATTTGGTCACAGTCTAACAACTGATTTCAACATGGAAAATATTTTGTTGACAACATTTTTTCCCATTACAAATTCACTATATAGTTATTAGCATGAAATACATTATTTTTATTGTCACCCAGCTGTTTTCAGAGATAAGGTATTTATGCTTGGTCCGACCCCTAAATTCAGAACATTATGTCCTTGCAGCATTGCAATAAAAAAAAAGGTTGTTGGGAATGCCTTTTAGATGACTTAAAAATAAAAATAACCATGTAGATAAAGAATGAGTAAACCACTTTAATTTGTTCTGAACTCATGTATACCTGAACGCATAGCATCTTTTTGAATGCTTTCATAATCATGCCAGTCCTTCCTTTTTAAGCCATCAGTCCAGGTAAAGAGCTGTCCATCTCCCAGCCCCAATGGAAGTGTCTGTGGAAACAGTAAATAAACAAACAAATAAATATATACATAGATATGTGTCTTGCATTATTACAGAGGAACAGTCAAGCAAATAAAACATTCAGCTTATTCAATACAAATATTGAAACTTTACTGTGGTAAATGAAGTACCTTGATTTTTTCCTTAAACTACCACTCATGTAAAATTGGAGTTATATTTACTCTGTACCCTTCAATGTTTCCCTTTAATTTTTTTATTTTTTCAATACTTGCTGTTGAGTTATTGGTATTTACACAAGGCCAAAGGACTGCATCAAAGGCACAGAGCAAAGAGATCCCCCAAACACTTTCAAATCTCGTAGATCTTTCTTCATGATAAGTGATAAGGGGAAAAAAACAAACACACACCACCACAAAACACCCAGAAAAAACCCCCATATGACATCTAGTTGGTAAGTTGACTTCCTCTTTCCAGACTCCTGATTCTTGGGTAAAGCTAAGAACTGCCTTTTGCTTCTAGGTGAAATTATCTTTCTAGAGCTTTTATTTTCATACTGCCAAATGCTAGTATTTTTATGAAAAATAAGAATCGAAAAGTCCCATTAGAAGTACATGAAATGTAGATCTGTAGGAAGTAGTGCAAAGCTGCAGCAGGTTTCAAACAAAGTTAGCCTTTTCTAAATGCTTAATTTACAAAAAAATGTGGTAAAAGTGGACAAAATTTGACAAGCAAAGAAGATGACTGAATCAGTAGGTTTGAATCAGCAAACTGTTCAGAATAAAGAGCAGATATATAATGCATGTTAGAAACATAGTTATCAAAGTTCTGTGAAAACACACTCAAAAAGCACTTCCAGGGACGCAACATCTGATCAACTTTCTAACAGGAAATACTGAAAGCTCTACAAAAATTGTATGCATATGTAACAGTGATACTTTGCCCTTCATGTTACCCAAACAGCATTGGACTCACCCATTTCCCATTCCTGATTTTACACTACTGGCTGCACAAAACTGGATGACACTCACTGACTCAAAGTGAAACTGTCCCAGCATGCTGAGCTAGGGTTTCTTTTTTCAGGACAGACAAATATTTGCCAAGCTACATGGTGCAGATGTGGTCCTTAAAACTGAGGTTCTAAGGCTTTTGAATTTGTAAACAAGAAGTGAGGAATGCCAGGCATGATTGGTTACCTTTAAGCAAAGGATGCTAGAAATCCTGGCTGACAAAGATTCATGCTGAAAAGCTCTGCTTTGGGTCAGATGAGAATGTTGGATATTCAGGGCAAAGTGGCGTGAGCTCAGTGGTCTCCAATAAATCCCTGAGATACCAAGAAAAATCCATCACATTCTGCTAGCATGACCTATGTTTTTTAGTCTTAATATCAAAGGTAATTTATGTTACATAATGACAAAATGCAATCCAGTCTGTGGTTATTCTTCTATTAAAACTTTTGCAGACATATTCCAAGAAAACACTGTTACCTCTATATTTTAATATAATACAAGTCAGAGATTCACACCTGGAAGAATCAAAGAACTTAATATATCCTGATAAAAATATTTCAGGTTATCAAAATATCCAACCTTTCATGTTCTTGAAATGAACTCACTAAATTCAGTAATTCTTGAGTTCAAACAGTGCTAATGTTCTAATAGTAATACGAAATTGCTTGCTTTTTAAAGTCAGAAGCATAAGGTAGGACACAGGCTGCAAGAGCGTTAATCATGATTCTGTAGCCCAAATTCCTAAAATCATCTACTCTGAAGCAATAGCTGGCTCTTTAAAAGGCCCAGACAGATTCAATTAAACTTCTATCTCTTGTCAGTATGGGTACAGCTGGTGTTAATCACTTGGTCCCAAAAAATCAAGACTATCGAAACTATCAAAAGCAGGATAAACTTTACTTTTGTGACCCTTTTTTCCTATGCTGGCTTCTTTCCCTAAAACCAGTGATCTAATTGGCAAGTCTGCAGGACACTGAAAGACAGCTGAATAGTAGAGTTTAGAGGTTTCTGGTTTGTCTATTTGCATTTTGATGCCATTACTCTTTAAAAGTATTAGTTACATGTAGTTACTTTACCTGATAACATTTACAAGTCTAATGTACCAGGAGGGCCTCTTGCAAGCATAATATAGTTAAATAAATACATCTACTAAAATTAATATAGCAAAAGGATAAATATACATCCAAATATTGTGCGATACACAAAAAGCTCACAGAAATCATGCTGTGGCTCATATTTTGGAAGGGTAACAGTGCCCTAAGAGGACATAAGAAACGAACAAATCCAAAACCCTAGTGTTGGTGCCATCATAAGTCCCTGTTTAACAACTGAGTTTTGTTTGGATTATTGAGAATTTTTTGTAATAAGTCCCTTAACTCCCCCACATCATACCATGGTGACTTTTCAGCTCTAACACTCTTTCAGTGTAAGGGGAATTAAATACAATGCTCTCGCATGTCACTTCTTAACTAGTATTCAGACAGCATAATCTCAATGAGGACTGAACATTGTGACACTTAGAGGGACTGGATTTCATGAAACTCACCCTGCGTACACAGTTTTACCTCTGCAGTGAGCATGGAACAGGGATTAGGAAGGGATGTCAAGTTTCACAGTCAAATTTTCTGGAAAGAGTAGGAGTTTTGCAGTGCAAATTCTATAGCTCTGAAGAGATCGGAACTGCCTTCACTCCCTTGCCAGCAACTGAAGGATTTTCGGTTTTTTTCCTTTCCTTTTTTTTTTGACGTTGTTGTATTATTTAACAAAATACAAATGCACTTCAGAAAACGGATTCCTCCATTTCACTTCTGCCTAAGGGTAAACAAATTGCATTTTCAAAGACCCTAAAACACAGTTTCTGGAATGTTTTAAAAGTGCTAAAAGGCTCCATTGTAAAACTCTATGTTCATATGCCTCTTTTCCAGATGATAATGACTAGAAGAGCTCCCATTTCTAAAGCTGTCAAGTAAGGAAAAGAAAAAAAAACTAATAAAAAAATGTAATATTCTTATTCTAGTTCTCCAACTTTTTGGATACATTGACAATTTAAACTATATTCTATCTTGCATCAAGTTGGCGGGGCTGATCAGGAGAACTTTAAACTAGGTTTGAAGGGGGAAGGGATTGAAACCGGGTTCTCCAGAGACGAGCCTAGGGGTGAAAAGCCTGAGTGAAGAGTGAAATAAGCAGCCCAGCTGAAATGCATGTACATCAGTGCACACATCATGGGTAACAAACAAGAGGAGCTGGAAGCCATAGTGCAGCAGAAAAGATATGATGTAGTTGCCATCACGGAAACGTGGTGGGATGCCTTGCATAACTGGAGTGCTGCCATGGGTGGCTACAGGCTCTTCAGAAGGGACGGGCAAGGTAGGAGAGGTGGAGAGGTGGCTCTATATGATAGAGAGTCTCTTGACTCTGTGGAACTTCAAGTCAGTAACAATAAGGTTGAGTGCCTGTGTATCAGAATCAGGGGGAAGGCCAACAAGGTCAACATCCTGGTGAAAGTCTGTTACAGACCACCCAATCGGGATGATGAGGGTGATGAATTATTCTACAAGCAGCTGGCGGATGTCTCAAAATCGCCAGCCCTTGTTCTCGTGGGTGACTTTAACCTGCTGTATGTGTACTGGGAACTCCACACAGTGGAGAAGAGGCAGTCTAGGAGATTCCTAGAGTATATAGAGGATAATTTCCTGCTCCAGCTGGTAAATGAGCCTACCAGGGATGGTGCCTCGCTAGGCCTTGTGTTCACAAACAGGGAGGGTCTGGTGGGAGATGTGGGGGTTGGAGGCCTTCTGGGGCACAGTGACCATGAAATAATAGAGTTTTCAATACTCAGGGATGCAAAGAGGGCCATCAATAAAACCTCTACGCTGGGCTTCCGGATGGCAGATTTCGGCCTATTCAGAAGACTAGTCCAGAGTGTACCCTGGGAAACAACCCTTGAAAACAAAGGGGTTCAGGAGAGATGGACATGCTTCAAGGAGGAAGTCTTGAACACACAGGAGCAGGCTGTCCCAGTCTGCCAAAAGGCAAGTTGGCGGGGAAGACGACCGGTCTGGCTGAACAGGGAGATTTTGAAGGAAATCAGGGGGAAAAGGAGAGTCTACCGATTAGGGAAAAAAGGGCTGGCTACTCAGGAAGAGTTTAGGAATATAGTTAGGTCATGTAGAAAGAAAATTAGAGAGACGAAGGCACAACTTGAACTTAATCTTGCCACTTCTGTGAAGGATAACAAAAAGTCCTTCTACAGGTACATCAACAGCAAAAGGAGGGGCAAGGAAAACCTCCATTCTTTATTGGACATGGGTGGGAATACAGTTATCAAAGATGAGGAAGGTCATCTGGGGAGGTCCCAGATGACTGGAAGTTGGCAAATGTCATGCCAATCCACAAAAAGGGCCGGAAGGAGCACCTGGGAAACTACAGGTCCGTCAGCCTGACCTCAGTGCCTGGAAAGGTTATGGAGCAGATCATCCTAAGTGCAATCACATAGCACCTACCGGATGGACAAGGGATCAGACCCAGCCAGCACGGGTTTAGGAAGGGCAGGTCCTCTCTGACCAACCTGATCTCCTTTTATGATCAGGTGACCCGCCTGGTGGATGAGGGGAAGGCTGTGGATGTGTCCATCTGGACACCATCTCCCACAGCATATTCCTGGAAAAGCTGTCAGCCCATGGCTTGGACAGGGGCACCCTGTGCTGGGTTAGGAATTGGCTGATAGGCAGGCCCAGAGAGTGGTGGTGAAAGGTGCTGCATCCAGTTGGCGGCCGGTCACTAGTGGTGTCCCCCAGGGATCAGTGTTGGGTCCAGTTCTGTTTCATATCTTTATCAATGATTTAGATGAGGGGATTCAGTCCACCATCAGCAAATTTGCAGATGACACTAATTTGGGGGGGAGTATTGATCAGCTGGAAGGCAGGAGGGCTCTGCAGAGGGACCTGGACAGGCTGGAGAGTTGGGCTGATTCCAATGGGATGAGGTTTAACAAGGCCAAGTGCCAGGTCCTGCATTTT